GCTATCATCATCCTAAGTACCTAGTCATGCAGTTCGCTGTTTTGTGTATTAATGTCTGGGGACAGACTTGTTCTGACTGCAGCTTTCTGACAAAATGTGCACCCTGTTTCTAACAGGGGAGTGACTGAAATCCGAATTACTGTTTATGATAATTAATGTAGCTTTTCATGCAAGCATTCTTGTATGCATTTGCTTCACTTCTTAAGAGCCCTTTTTAGTGTTGCTGGTATTTGCAAACTTATCAGGATGTTACTAACCTTTTTTTATTTTAAGAAAAACTTACTCTTAATCAGTCTGATGTGTTGATACCTTACTGAAGGTATTAAATGTTATAACAAATTCATGGTGTGCAAGGTGTCCAATTTTACTATAAGTAATTTCTTGAGCTTGAATTAATATGTAATGACATAATCAGTCACTCCAGATTTTTTTTATGCATGTGGCACATGATTTAGTAACATAAAGAAGACTTAACTATGATAGTTCTGTAAGTGTAACATGTTTGTTTTGTAGTATCTAGGATTTGGGACACCATCTAATATGGGAAAAGGCAGAAGGGCTGCAGCAGCAGCTGATCTTGCGAATATAAGCGGAGAGTCCGATCCACATGAAGATATAGAAGAAAAGGATCGCTTGCTGCGTCACGTGGAAGCCAGAGATCTCATTGAATTTGGCATGATTCCTGAGTTTGTGGGACGTTTGCCTGTTGTGGTTCCGCTGCACAGCCTAGATGAGAAAACCCTTGTACGGATTCTTACTGAGCCACGAAATGCTGTTGTTCCTCAATACCAGGCACTATTCAGCATGGATAAGGTTTGAATTTTTATTTGACTATTCTTCAATATTCTTGTTTATAAATACAGTGTTAAAGTGATCCAAAATGTCAATTTAAATCACTTCTTCCTCCCACATGTGCACCTCCCCACTCTGAAAAAAAGTAAGCTAACTCATTAAAACCTGACTGGTTTAGATGGGATAACTGTCCTTGTGGGGTAAGTAATCTGGAAATGGTTGAGTTGCTCTTCATGTTAACATTCAAATGAACATCCATGACTTTGCTTAATAGACATCAAGAGCCACTTCATGTACTGTAGATGTACTTGTATTAGTTGTACGTAAAGGGACATAGTCAATACTGGTAATGTTAGGCAAATATAAAGTGTAGCTGAAGCTTTATGTACGTAGCTTAAATGTTAAGTCTTCTGGTTCGTAACAAGTAAATAGCTACTGTCTGTTATTTTCAGTAATGCTTGTGCTGTCCCACTCAACACACTGTTAAGTTATAAATGAAATAATTAACTAAACTTAGCATTTTTCTCTTCGTAGTGTGAATTAAATGTAACTGAAGATGCATTGAAGGCTATAGCCAGACTGGCCCTGGACAGAAAAACTGGTGCAAGAGGTCTTCGATCTATAATGGTGAGTAAACTAAGTCTCATATTGAGTGAATGAAGCTACCTGCATTTGTATGTATGGACCTAATGGTGACAATTTTCAGTCAAAACCTCACTTAGTTCTGGGTCTTACACAGATACAGTAAGTCTCTTTCTAAAACTGCGGGTATTCGGAGTTCTTCCAAGAAAACTCTAGCTCTGAAAATCACTTGCTAACCATATTGTTATGTAGAAGAGGGCACACAGAAATATTTTTTCCCTCTATTTTCTTGTAGGAAAAGCTGTTGCTGGAGCCCATGTTTGAAGTGCCCAATTCTGACATTGTATGCGTGGAAGTTGACAAAGATGTTGTAGAAGGCAAAAAAGAGCCAGGATACATTAGGTAAAACCATAATGGAAGTATCAGAACAGACAAGTAACGCAGCTAGACAGGTATTCTAATGGTTGCTGTAGGAACAAGTGTATAAACACAAAACCATGCACACAGCCTGAAAAGGATCTGATTCTCTGTATACTGTACGCAGCTGAATTAGTGCCTATTCTGTCCTAGAGACTTTGGGTCTGTATCGCTTTAGTTTTTAAATAGAAACTAAAAATAAACTTATATATGAAGTTACTTTAAGCCTTTTGTGTGTGTGTGTGTATACCTGTAGAAATAGAAGTAAATTATAAGCATCATAAGTTAACAGTAAAAATCTGAATTTTAATTGTGACTGTACTGAAATGTCTGAAATGGAACTTTTTCCTTCCTCCTTCTACTTTCTACCACTGAGGTGTTTTGTTTTCTTTAATGCAAGCTCCAGGCTGCTGCAGTTTTCTTGTCCATTGCTCTTGGAGCAGTGGAGAGCCACAAAGGCACATCTATTGATTTACTGAACTCTTGTTAAAATAATCAACTTAATGTTGTAAAGTTTGTATTATGGTAATGATGTGGTGGAATGCTGAAAGCACTGGGCAAATTTGGATTTTAAAAAAATAATCTTGGTGAACAAGGATGGAGTCGAGAGGGAAGGGGTCAGGTTAACAACACAGGTCTGAAATTTAGGAACTCTGCCTTGGTTTCTACCCCTGACAGCTTTTTTGAGTGACTTTGTCCACTGAGGTACGTGCTTTGTATTCATCTGTGTCTGTGCTGAAGCTTGGCTCAGCATACCTACTGTTTCAAAGGGGATGGATGGTTGGAGTGGAAAGTACTATGCTTACACTGATGGTTGCTTTAAGTGATTTTATAGAGCACCAGCATTCATGTTTGCTGGAAATATTAAATTTACTGATTAAATCAAATGACTTAACTGAATTCAATAGCCTTTTGATTTTCAGTAATGAGACTGCATACTGGCAGTAGTGTAAATCTGCACAGCACCATTTTCGGATCAGAAGGTCGTTTAGCAGATGGGTGCTTGTCAGAGCATTTGTCATTGGGGTGCTTTGCAGGTGGCATGTTTACCAGAAGCTATGGAAATCGTCTCCATTCTTTTCCTCAATTTCTAAAGTATCTGATCAGTTTGTTTTAATTATAGGGCTCCCACTAAAGATTCATCTGAAGAAGAATATGACTCTGGCGTTGAGGAAGAAGGCTGGCCTCGACAAGCAGATGCTGCAAACCATTAAAGACTGTCAGAATGCTCACCTGCATAAAGCGCGCTTGGTTATTTCCTTATGATTGCCTCTGGCTTCAGCCTGATACTGAAGGCATCGGATCTATCTCGGATATGATACGTGATGAGGAACTTTATTAGATAAATCAGATTGTGTTATTTTATTGCAACATCACATTGATTTATTTGATGGACATTGTGTGGACTTGGATGGCATAATGTTCAAATATGAATTGTATATTACACTTGTTCAATTAAAATGTATAGCAAATATAGCAGCACCTGGATTGCTCTTTCTAGAAACTAAAACAGCAATGCAGGTGCTGCCAATAGTTAGATTTGACAATAATGTTACTCTACAAATGGGAAATCAAGATTTATAATTAGAGGGTGAATAAACTATTAGCTCCTCATATGACTTGCAGGGGGTTACGTTCAGGTCAGTGTTTGATTTCTGCTGGTGTTTGAAACCAGATGGGTGCTGGAGTGACTTGTTACATTGGTGGGGGAGGAAGCCCTTCCAACAGGATTTTGGAAAAACTGGGACATACTCTGGCACTGCTGGGAGATTCTGCAAAAATGTGGCACTAGTTTGTCACAGTAATTTGAATGCAATTTTAAGTAATAGCCTTTCCTTCGCCTCTCCATTAGGAGTAAGTTCCAGTCACCTTGAATACTGTGAAAGAAGGTGAAGTCAGCAATTTGCTCATTTTTCCAGAAGGGTAAACAGGATTTCTAGGAAGCAGTAAGCCATCTGAATTTGGATGAGAAGTTGACATAAATTTTTAAATATTAATGTTCTAATATAGTACATTTTGTTTAACGTATTGGAACTATCATGCATCAGTTTTTTGGTGCCAGGTATTTGCCCAACCTATCTTATAATGTTAAGAGATGAAAGAAGTAAATGTGTAATATTTTTGATGTAATCAGTAGTGATTGTTCACATGACACAGTGCTTTTTAAGTTATACGCTCAAATGCTAGTATTGCATCTTGTGGTTTTGTCTTTGATTTTTAGTCTCACAGCAAAACAATCCTCCCTCTTCTGTTCTACGCCACAATTAATTCAATCCTTTAGGAAAGTCTTTGTAAAAACACTAAAGGACCTGTATGTTTTTGATTTGTTTCAGGAATTAAAATTGTTGCTTACAACTTTTTGTCTTTCGGTGATACGTGGACTTAAGTTTTACTGACCCCTTTTTCTAAAATTTTAATTCATGCTATTTAAATAAAACTTTCATCGTTCTTTTCAGTCTAGTGGATGTTTTAGGGCAGGAAGGGACACTGCAGAGGTGTTGACACTATTTTTGTTGTTAGTTTTTGTCATGTAAATTTTATTATGTAATACTTGTGTTCTTACCAAGAAGCAGCGTGACAGATGCAACAGATACTTCCCTTAGGATTTCAGTTTTTTTCAGGTTAAATGACCCACTAATGGTTCAGAACAAGCTGCCTTCGGAGCTGAGGATATTTCTAGGAGAAGCTTAGTCCCCTCAAAATGGGAATCTGTGGTGAACTATCTGTAACTGCATCCTCACTTTCCTTTTTGTAGAGTGAAAAAAATAAAACTGCTTTTAATTCTGAATCCTTTAATTCAAATCCTTTTTTAAATGGATTGAAAAAACATTTTAGGCAAAACTGTTCAACAACTTAGTTTTGAAAGTTGTTTGGAATTATGTAACTGAGAACTGTTTTTAAGGAAACAAAATGCCATGTAACTACAGTTTGTACTTCACCTCTGGCGTTTGAATAAAACAAAGCGAATACTCAAGCAGCGGAGAGTTGTCATCCCTGGCGTCATCCCCGGAAACTTTAAATTTCGTGGCTCTGCGGGGGTTTTTTGGTTGTGGGGTTTTTTTAAGAGGACCTACAGGAAAGAAAAAAGATGCTGCGGGGGGGGTTGAGGCCTTCCAAGGGCAGGGAGGGGCCCT